GGATCAGGCAGGCGTGAAGTCTCGCATGGACATCTCGTTAGCGTAATCATTGATTTAAAGTTCGTTATACCAGTGACGATCGATAATGGATTTCGGGTATGGAGAGAGAGAGAGAGAGAGAGAGATGAAGAGAGGGTGAGAGAGGACGGTTGGGGAGGAGGTTAGCTGATAGACGAAGGCTAGAATCGGCACGACGAAGAAAAACGGGGTATCCTGATTGCTAGGCGGATCGCAGTCGGTGATTTGGGCCAATCTACCAGGTTCTTGTTACTCTCTGGACGACGAGTAATAACCGTAATGGGGAGCCCCCGGTCTTCGTAGGTAGGTAACTATCCTTCGTTCGAATCTCTCCTTCGATCTTATTGTCAAATCCATCGGAGAGAGGCTCGCCACTTAAATCAACCCACCATGCGCGTGATTTGTAGAAAGATCCCGATGAGACAAGCACCCGTTTTTAGCAAATGAGTCGTAAATTCGACCCGGAACTCGTTATCGGTAATAGCCTCCGCGGCATAAAAGGAAAACATCGCGTCGAATCAATGGATACGATTAGCGGTTCGGCTCCGGGCTCCGATTAATTACGTTTCCTTTCTACCTTCCTTTCAGCCGCGTTTTTCATCCAACTGCGTCTAAACCATTACCGCGATCGATTCTATTATCTTTTGACGGATAGAAATGCGCTTTCGGTGAAAGCGCGTCAAAGTGAGTTATTGTCAATCGTAAGCTTTTGTATAAACTTCGGTCGGAAATCGGACCGAGCACCGAGGAATGCGGCAAAAAGGAATTACAAATTCGGTGGATATTAAAAATTTATTCAAATACGTTGCAAAAATAACGGGAATTGCACCTGTGCCTCGATATTCACCTTATTTGACTATATAATAAGGGAAAGGAGGCGACGGGAAAGAAATTGAATGAAAATCTCGAAATGCCGTCAGCTGGTGAATTTGTTGGTCTCGAGGCGAGAATATTTATGGGACGCGGCCGAAAGTTTACGAATCAACGGGACCGCATTTTTATAGACGGAAACAATTTGAAATCGGATTCTATCACATTAGCATATGAATAATTCATACGTGAAAGGCTGCGTTCATTCACCCGGTTGTAAGAACACACGATGGGCGCAACAAAATGTTCGACGAACGAAATATTTATTTTACAATTTGACGCACGCCCGGCCGGCGATATATTTATCAGCACAGAATGAAAAGCCTCTTCACCGATCGTTGAAACCGACTCCGATTTGTCAACGACCGCTTTCCGTCATTTCCGTCGCGCTCGCAATCGTCGACGAGCGAGATCGGTATAAAAAATCAACGGTGGCAGCCGCGCGCGGAGAGGCGGGGCAAATCCATTTTATTGGGAATCATCGCGCGCGACCATCGTATTATTTATTCGTATTTCCATCGAAACTTCGCTGCCAACGCAGCGCGACAAATGAACCTGAATAAATAATACGCTGTTATTGTGCCGACATACCGCGCTCTGTCAACTATGTCAGTATCGCTGGGGAAGTTTCGACGCGGCCCTGCAGGGTTCTCTCCCGGCACCGCATAGCTGCCTCGAAACTATTTCCGATATAATTCTCCTCCGTACTAGCGCGACGCGGACCGACGACGGTTGCGAAAGTAGCGACCTTTACGTTTTAGTACCGTTATTTTCATAACGGGGAACGACGACGCGACGTCGTCCGCACAAAGACCATCGAGAATACGAAGACTATTCACATTGTTAAGAAGATCCTGCAGACGTTTCAAGTCTTACCGTAAAGTGGAAACGGACGAGAGGCAGGGTGGGGTTTTTCTCCCTCGGCTCTCTGACAGCCCCTCTTCTGACTGCTGGAAAATTCCTTTTCATTAAATTCCCAGCTGACGAGAAAATACGCGGAAATATCGGGGCAGGGGGGACCCGGGGATGGAATAAAAACGCCGCCACCGTTTTTAAACCAAACAACCTGCATTGTTCGGTTAAAGTAAACGTTCATATTTTTTACCGGGGATAAACGAACGTGGCCCCTCTGCAAAGCCCCGACGCACCTGTTGTTTCGTGAACAATTTCACGTTCGCCCCCGCGCGCTCGCACGTACGCGTTTCATAACGTTACGTTAAGCCCTTTCGAACCGAAGACTTATGGCATTTAAACCTGTATCCGTTCGCGTTCGCGTTAACGTAAACTGCTAGTCAGAACTCGAACTGTTTTCACTATTTTTCACGAGTCCCCGGTAAAACGAGAAGAAAAGCGAGCGAACGACCCGAAATTCGCAGAGAACCGAGGGCGAGGGAATTGCGCCCCGGTAGTAGTGTGCACCGTTTGCCAAAAAAGGGATGTCAGTGAGGTTTGTCGGCTGACAAATGGCCGGTCGCCCCGGGCGAAGCTTCGTCGTTTAAACTCGAAGTCATTGTGTCGGAGCCATTAAGCGTTTGGGGCGATCAAAAAAGGTATCGGGGGCGTGCAGGAAGCGCAGGGGCTAGCGGGACGGAGCGAAAGACCGAAGAAGGGGAGGGAAGAAATATCTGGCAGCTAATAAACAACGGCCCTCTATTCATAGATTCGCGCGTCGTGTGATTGTACGACTGGACGAAGTTCGGGGGGGGGGGGGATGGTCGAGGAAAGAAAAGGCAGCGGCACGAACGGTAGAGGAACGGAAACGGAGTGCGACGGTGCGAACACAGGAGGGAGATCGTACTGGAGGTCGGTTCTAAACAGCGCAATCAATCTTCCCTTAATGAACTCTTAATTATTTCGAGGACACGGCAGAGCGGGAAAGGAAACTGGCCGTATAATGGAGGCGCAAAGTGCGCGCAACCGGAGCTATACGCAGCTGCGGTGAACCGGTTGTCGGTGTAGCGAAAGAGCCCACGGTCCGGGGGTGCTGCTATTAGATAAATATAGGGAGAAACAGCGCCACGAGGGAAGCAACGAAAATGAAAATAAAGGGCCACTCTGCACCTTCTCGCTCTCGTGTGTGCAGCATCCCGCTGAGAGGGAACGGGGGGGAGATGACGGGAGGGAGGGTGGCGGTTGGGATCCACGTTTCTCTCGACGCGAGACCGACCGCGTTCCCTCGACGCTCCCGCAGGGACAGGAGAGACGAAAATAAAGAAGAATCGTCGCGGATCGAAACTAGCGACGCGACAGTGGGATGGCAGATACCCCGTGGATGATCTTATCTGCAGTTCGTTTGCTTTAATCGTTCCCCGGAAATAACTTATTACTCCGAAGACCGTTGGAAAAATATTTATTGGCCCCGATAAGGTAAGACAACTCCGGTATTGGGAACGCTTCGTTGAAATATCGACGTCGAGACGCGTATTTCTCTCGATCGACGCAGATATTTCACTGCGATATGCGATTAATTTACATCGTACGGTTTCCGCCGATACCGTGGAATCAGAGTAGCCGGGGGAGCGGGACTGGACGGAGTGATTTCACCGAGTCTCGCGTTCTCGTCCCGCAGGCGATCGGTCCGATTTCCTCGCGAGAATTCGGCCGGTCCGACGGACGAACGAGGGAGCGAGGACGGCAGCCGCGGTAGAGAAATTAAAAAACATTGCGGGTCGGGTCACGAACGACTTATAATATACACTAGCCGTGGAAATTACGCGCGGGTCGCGCGACGACGTAAGTTCGGAAATTACGCGAGTAGGGTAGCAAAAGTTTGCGCGATCTAACTACTACGAAGTCAGTCCACGGTGCGGCCCTTATTCACCGCCCTCGTGGGACTTGGCCGCGACCACTGTTATTACCGGGCGAAGGTTGGGTACCTACCTACTCGGCGACGAACGAACCAGCCCGCTTTGCCGAACGTGCCCGGCGAAAAACTCCTCTTTAATACGGCGAAATTCACTGTGACACATCCAGGCTACACGCTGTGAGTCGTTTAATAATGAATTTCATCCAATATGCATCGGCCATTGTCAGCGCGGACCGCCGGGGAGTATTTAATTCTTTTCGTGGCGTCGAAAACACGTGAAATTTCGAGACGTCCAGGGGGCAACGTTCGCCGGACAGCTCGAACGATCTTAATTTGTTGTGCTATTTCAGTTTCCCTTTGACCACGTTCCGTGGCGACTCGACGGTTTAAACGAAGTTTGAACGTGGATTCAACTTCGAATGTGCCCTCCTACAGGTACCGTTACACGTAGCTACGCTCGGAGAATTGGTAAACGTTTCATGATCCCAGTTTAAATTAGATTATTCGACGAACTCGTTATAAATCGATATTCAAATTCAATAGTAGATACACACAGGCCAGGGCGCAATACCTCAGGGGGATATTATCGAGCGTGGCCTACAGTTTGCTTGTTTAATGAAACTAGTTTTAACAGCTATGAAACACTAGGAAGGCAATATACGACGCGATTTGCTTAACTTTCTCGTGTCCTCGTGTGCGGCACACGTTAACAGAACAAAATCGACTCGAACTTCCTCCGGTAATTATCCGTGTACGGGGTATATCTATCCCGTCGTGTGTCTCTCGGGTGGACGCGTTCCCGAGTTACGCAAGTCGTTCCGCGGCCAACGTGAAAGACGGGACAACGAAACAGCGTATTGATAAGCTCGCGCGGAGCTCGTAAACTGGTTTCGCGTGCCAATAAATCTACTTCAACGCTTCGGCCGCCGATATTGACGTTTCCGCGAAAGGCTAAACCGCGGGTCGATGTATTACTGTGCGATTAGAGAGTACGTTTTCCACGCGTGAAAATGAAGCGAATGAAAGTACGCAAGTTGTTTGAGTGATGAAGAAATCATGTTACCACGTATTGACACGTGCTTCGTGCAAGACGTTGCATAATAAAATTAGTTTATCGATTATGTGATTAAATAATTCTTGTCAAGGAACATCGATTAATAAATGAGAATATTATAGAATTATTATTTATTTTTTTCTACTAGAATTTTTTATACTTGACACGTTCATCATATTAGGTCGAATATAAAAGAAATATGACGTAAGATAAGAGCAAACGCGAAAGTGTTTGACCGTGGATTTCTTTCAGAAAGGATCGCATCATTCACCCCAAAGAATGATTCTCCTTCGGTTAACGAGGACACACCCGGCGAGCTCGATAAGGAAGACGATGTCGAGTTGGCGAAAACAGGATTCTATAGATCAGGGGAGAGATTCGGACGACAATGCGGAGGAACGAAAAAAATTGACGATCGTTTTCGTTCCATGATGCTGACCCAAATTTCACCGCAGAGTTTCCGCATCGTTGACGCAGCAAACGTTCCCGGTCCCCTTTCGCGTACGTCCCTTCCCATCGTTCAACCCCGTCCCGATCTACCGATAAAATCTAATATCCCCACGGTTTGTAATTTCCAATCCAGTCGTGATTATGGCAACAGCGTTTATTGCCTCAGCTGGAATGACACTCTTGAATTCAAGAATGCATGACGTGTCGACAATTCAATAATTTCAAGATGAATGATAAGTCCGACTACTGGAAAATACAATGGAATATTGCCTCTTTGGAAATAAATTTTACATACCATTTAAAGTTCTATCTAAATATCCTCGGTTTCGTTTAAATATTTACGATGAAAGGTAGAAACAGGAAAAGCTAGGAGCTGTCCAGTTGTACGCGCTTAAGTGGCCGGAAATATTTCGCTTACACGGAAACACAACGGGCCTCGCTGCGTTGAACGAACAATGTGCTTTTAACCTGGTCGAATAAAATGTTACGTCAGCCCATCGAACGTTCATCGGAAACCCGGCCTCGTTGGCTGACGGATACCGAGGCCGGTCTGCTGCCCGATAACGAAATTATCTTAATCCGGGCCGATCGATTGACAGTTAGTCGATTGCGCGGCATTGCTAGATGACTCTGAGTTGTACGGACTGACGGCCGTTGCAGCGGCGCGCCGTGTCCATTGTGCACCGCACGGTGAAATTGATGTGTATTTTGATGCCCCGAAGTACACGATAATGTACCCATTGAAAGACCCCTCGCGGTCAAGTCTCGCACCGAAGACGCGTATATAATAATGAAAATGCGCTCTCCCGCATGCATGAATGGCTCGTGGACCTGCCAGCAGATAATTAATATCTAATGAGGCAGCAGTTATGAAAGTCAACAATTTCACAAATTAAGAAGATGTACTCAAAAGTATGTAGCAATCGTCTAGACTACGTGTACTGCGTACATGCATAGGAAAACTTGTATAGAATGAATGTTACTTGTGTGTGACCTGTTTTTCCACGCTGCGTGCGAATCTTACTAACAATAAGATTCAAGGCAAATAATTAACGAATGCCTTTATGTGTAACTCTTGGTCGAAGTAATCGTTTCCACTTATTTGTAGGAAGCATACAATTATTTGATATACAATACGACGGGTTTCCTATTATAAAAACAGCTCATTAACTTGACAGGAATCCTTATTTAGAATGCCGGTAGTTCGACTCGATGTCATGATCTGTTTTTTGCGCTATTAATGCCTGATTGCTTTTTAATCGATACGTCCTCCTCGAGGCAGACAGATATGTAAAGGAAAAAATGCTATTGGAAATAAAACAAGATATGAGTAATCAATGCGTCTCGATTCCTCAGTCGGAAGTTATTAGTCACAGATGATTGAAAATCATAACAAGTTCGTATTAAATTCAGATGATATTTTATCCATATAAGAATCGATATTTAAAAAAGTCTGATGTTAATCGAATTGACAGACTATTTTCGTGCTCTACAAAAATTTCACACTATTCCAACCGTAACTGAAAGCGGAAATTATATAAGTGATTCAAGACCTTGCTACTGGTGCATAATTTCGTAAACGGTGCGCGCTGTGAACCTTGTCCTCCTTCCAGTAAGAAGAATTATTTGTCTGTAAGACGTTCCACGAAATTCAAGCGATAACATTGTAATTCGATGTACGTGTAATAACCAATGATGTTTCTCGGTGACATACATATTCACAAGGAGGAAAAACAGTGAACAAGTATGATTCTCGACGATCAGACGCGTAAAGAGGTTAATTGAGGACCTCCTCCGCTGTTAACGTGTACGAAGGTTGTAACGTCGCAGTGCAAATGGTTGAATAGTCAATTGCTAATGTAAAAATACTTTCGGTAATAAAGTCGGAATATGATTTGTATAATAGATACTCAGGCAATTTCGAAACTAAAATTATTACTCATTTCCTCATTCGATATAACTATCGATACTTTCACTTTTTATTTGAGAACAAGATTTTAAATCTACGTTGTATGAGTTGTAAGATCTCTGCCAAAAGTTTAAGACATGTAATAAAAACCTGCGTTCGATATTTGAAATAGTGAACTTTTAGAAAAAATTACAATTACAGAGGAGTAAGGTTTATAAAATTAGTCGATCTGTTTTTCTTGGCCATAAGGAATTTTTAACGCATAATTTCTAATATTCTAATACATACATTTCTAA